CATTCTTCCTTTTCTTCTGTCAGATATTATTATATAAATCACTCTATTCTACCCAATCTTCCAATTTTGCCTCCATTCTCCCCTGCCTTACACCCCCCCCCCGTGTCGGCCTCAATCGCCTCACCTACTAACGACCGTTACTGGGTCACACACATGATGATGGCCAATAGAGGCTCTGACTTGCCAGCTTACGTCAATATCGCCAGGCGGGCGCTGACTTGCCCTAAATATTGGTGTGTGGCTGTTTCTCACCAGCCTGGCTGATTGGTCTACCTGTGGTGGCTGGCTGGCTGGCGGACCTCCTCTCCGTGTGGTGGTACTTCGCATTACAGATTGGTGCTGATTGGTTGTTATGTGAGGGGAAGTATTCATCGGAGTGATGAGAGTAGCTAAAGAGACGGTGATAGAAGGGAAAGAGAAGCTATAAAGACAGCTGAGGCCGAGGAAGAGAGAGAGAGAGAGAGAGAGAGAGAGAGAGAGAGAGAGAGAATGTCCCCGCACCACCCTGTAGGTGAATGGAAGATCATCAATGCTTGCCTCTGTCTTCCTAGTCCTTTGGGACCTGGTTATTGACCTGCATTGTTTATTGATCTACAGAGCTTTCTAATCAGTAGTAATTATTGATTAGCAGTGGTTATTGATCTACAGTGGACAATGACCTTCTGACAGGTATTCATCTATTCATCAGAGGACACAGCTTCACCATCGCAATAACAATAAAGAAAAGGCTGATCTATTGAATAATTAAGATGAAAGTCTTTCATATAGAAAGAACATTTCCGTACCTTGCATAAAGTCTTGTCTCAAAGCTATCGTTGGGTTTAAGAGAACAAGATCAAGTACACAATCACCAGTCCCCGTGGTGTAGTGGTAAGATTCGCTTGGCGTTTCGCGGGCGCTTTGTCCTGGGTTCGTATCCTGGCCGGGGAGGATTTACTGGGCGTCAAATCTTTACTGTAGCCTCAGTTTACCCAACAGTAAAATGGGTACCTGGTTGTAAAACCATTTGGCGGGTCGTATTCCAGGGAAAATAGGATTAAGGACCTGCCCGAAACGCTACACGTACTGGTGGAGTTACAAGAATGTAAGAACTCTTGTATATATACAAATACAACAAAATACAAAATAAATAGATCACAATAACGTGATTTATCAACGAGGAAAATCTTTGGAGTGGATTGGCAAGATTGCGGTAGCGTCCTGAGTCCTCCCAGATGCGCGTTTGTTAACCCCCTGCACCATGATGTGGTCAATGTTGGTCAGCCTGGAGTCCGTCCCAAGCATTTGATCAAGATTATGTTCACTGTCTCATTAAATTATTTGATATATGAAAGGGGGTTTTGGGGCCAGGTGAGGTCAGCCCAATTGGGCGCCCCGCCTGTCATTACCGCTCCCCTGACCCCAGAGGTGACACAGGTGGTGTAGCTGGCCCTCTCCCCTGACCCCAGAGGTGACACAGGTGGTGTGGCTGGCCCTCTCCCCTGACCCAGAGGTGACACAGGTGGTGTGACTGGCCCTCTCCCCTGACCCAGAGGTGACACAGGTGGTGTGACTGGCCCTCTCCCCTGACCCAGAGGTGACACAGGTGGTGTGGCTGGCCCTCTCACCTGGCCCAGAGGTGACACAAGTGGTGTAGCTGGCCCTCTCACCTGACCCAGAGGTGACACAGGTGGTGTGACTGGCCCTCTCACCTGACCCAGACGTGACACAAGTGGTGTAGCTGGCCCTCTCCCCTGACCCAGAGGTGACACAGGTGGTGTGACTGGCCCTCTCACCTGACCCAGAGGTGACACAAGTGGTGTAACTGGCCCTCTCACCTGACCCCAGACGTGACACAGGTGGTGTGGCTGGCCCCTTCGCCGACATCACGACTGTTAATAAATGTTAATACCTACGAGAAAATAATATCACCACCATTACCTTTCGCTGTGTAGCCGACAGTTGCGTTTCAGATAAGGTCGATCAACATCAGCTGTTGTGTTGCACTAGATATTGCAAACGCATGTCACTAGATGGCGCTGGCAACTTGAGCGAGAAGCGCCCTCTAGGGAGGCCGTTGACCCTGACTAATACACAAGGTAAAGAACCCTACAAGCCGACTCGTGCGTCAGTTTTAGGCGAGAGTTATCAAGATGTTCTCCATCTCTAGCACATTCTTACCCCTCACAGTCATGTTCTTGCAACAGGCTGGTGTTGAGTGCATCCAGCGAGCATATGGGAGCTGCCTCACAGACGGCGCTAACCGTGAATGTATCTACTCAACGCTTATATTAACACCACACACCTATACTAAGCTGATTCATGCTCTGCGGCCAGGCATGAAGCGACACCTAGGTTAACGGCTCTTGGTTTGCTGAATTAATTTTCAAGGGAAAGAGAGCATGCCAGCTAGCCAGCCGGCCAGCGAGATACCAGCCAGTTACAAGCTACCAGCCAGCCGGCCAGTCAGCCACAAGCTACCAGCCAGCCAGCCACAAGCTACTAGCCAGCCGGCCAGTCAGCCACAAGCTACCAGCCAGCCAGCCACAAGCTACTAGCCAGCCGGCCAGTCAGCCACAAGCTACCAGCCAGCCAGCCACAAGGTACTAGCCAGCCGGCCAGTCAGCCACAGCTACCAGCCAGCCAGCCACAAGGTACTAGCCTGCCGGCCAGTCAGCCACAAGCTACCAGCCAGCCAACCACAAGCTACTAGCCAGCCGGCCAGTCAGCCACAAGCTACCAGCCAGCCAGCCACAAGGTACTAGCCAGCCGGCCAGTCAGCCACAAGCTACCAGCCAGCCAGCTACAAGGTACTAGCCTGCCGGCCAGTCAGCCACAAGCTACCAGCCAGCCAACCACAAACTACCAGCCAGCCAGTCAGCCACAAGCTACCAGCCAGCCACAAGGTAGCTCAGCCATTGCTAAAGCCCGGCTCACCTGGACTTGTCCAGCAGCCCCACCAGCATGGAGGGAAGTATCCCCCCGTGCAGGTCTCCTTGATGAAATTTCCTCAATATATCCCACACTATTCAAAGATTATGACCACTTAGTACCTCGTGTGATAGTGCGAGTGTTAAGGTCCAAGGTCCCGGTGCCTGGCCAGGGATCGCCGCCCCTTTAGCGCTGGGCCTCATCACAAGTGACAACTGTGTCGCAATGCGGTGAAGGACTCACACTACAGAGGCCCTTCAAGACCTCCGAAAAATGACAGAAAACGGGCGAAGGAAAAAAAAGGCATTTTAATATCCGCAAGTGGCTATGAATTTTAGATGGAAGCAATCTAATATTCCCTGCTCCCTCCCCCCCCCTCCTTCCTCTATGGGAAAGTTATATTACAGCAATAATATAATCATTATTTTTACTGTTACTGTTTGAAATACCAGACATTTTTCCCCTGTGGTGTTTCCTCGTGAAATATAATTCCGTATGTGAGAGTGTTGGGGACGGAGGGAGGCGAGGAAGTAGGGGTGGCTTGTTGGAGGGGTGGAGGGTGTGTGGGGTGAAGTGATGGAGGGGGTTATGGAGGGAAGGCTGGAGGGAGAGATGGAGGGGCCTGGGAACCAGAGCGCGTTGCAGGTCCTCCACTCTCAACCTGACACAGCGCCCCCTGGGTGAATGTTTAACAGCCTCCTGCGGCAGGTTCCCAGCTCTCTCCTCCAGGATAAACACACCAGAATTATTCAGCTTCACTTTTTGAGATTACAAAGAAATATACATAAAAATTACTCGGTGTTCTTGCGTGTATTACAAGTCGAGTAACCTGCTATATCATGATCATTCTTTTGATCTAATACGAAAACAATTTACACGGCAGAAAAATTATTATTATTCTTTTGTATTTTCGAACAAATTAAACTAACAATTACTGCATTTGTGACACTGACATACAGCAAGACAATTACTTGCAGGATAAGCATAAATTGTTGTTTACATTGTTAGTTGTTAATGGAGTGAAAGTATAGAAGCAAGAGACTGTGTATATGTTGTCTTAGAGCTAAGGTAAGTTGTGTATTGACCACTCCTTCATTACTCCACCTCGGCTCTTCCTACTGTGTGTACACCATTGTCTATTGAGTGTTCAGCCTTGGCTGTTGTTTGTATTATTGTACAACGTTGTCTATTGCTTGAACATCGTTGTCTGTTGTTTGTACAGCATTGCCTATTGTCTGTACTGCGTTATATACTGTTTATGCATAATGTCCCCTATTGTTTGAATATAGTTATTCATATCAGCTGTTTTCATATCATATTCATATCAAACATGTAATGTTTTCCATGCATTAATTTATTCTGGAGTGTGTATTGTGTTAATATTCCGTCGCTTCTCTCACCCTCTTCCACAAAGTTGATTATTTGTTATTTCCTTCTTCCATTCTATTGTTTGGCTCCCCTTGCTTGGCTCTCTCGCCAATTGCTTGCTTACCCTTTCCCTCCCCTGTGTATTCTTGCTTGCTAATGATCGCTCTTCTCAGGCCGGGTGCTTATGGGGTGTTTATCTTGGTCTCTGGTTAGCGGTCTCCCTCTACACCCCTTCTTTACTGGTGGCTTGTTTCCCCTCTGGCCATCACCCTCACTAATTATCCCTGTGGTAGTTGTCACCATCCACTTGCTATAATGATGACCTCCCTACCCTCCTCACTTTCCCCTCACCATCCCATTCCCTCTCTTAGCTTCCCCTTTACCCTTCACCCCCCCCCCCTTCACAACCAATTCACTCACCACGGGCTACTAATTTTATTAATTAATCCCATCACAAATTTCATCTCACCTCCGCCTCCATTATGGCATCATAGAGTTACCGGAATGATTTGCTTCACTTGGACGGATCAGTCGGTGGGTGCTCTAGTTATGCCTCTTCTACCCCTCGTCTCATTGTTGAGTTGTACACCGTCGTGTGTGTGGTGGTGTCCTTGGCGACGCCACACTCTACCTTACGGGTAAGTCCACTTCGGGCTCACCATAGCCCGTGCTGCTTGGAACTTTTTTGTTCCGAGTAGCTGAATCTAAAACAACTACCTTACGGCATTTTTGGTACCATTATGACTTCCCTTCTTTGGTTCTTGGTTCGTTGTGACTTCCTCCTTTGGTTCTTGGTCTGTTGTGACTTCCTCCTTTGGTTCTTGGTCTGTTGTGACTTCCTCCTTTGGTTCTTGGATCGTTGTGACTTCCTCCTTTGGTTCTTGGTTCGTTGTGACTTCCTCCTTTGGTTCTTGGTTCGTTGTGACTTCCTCCTTTGGTTCTTGGTCCGTTGTGACTTCCTCCTTTGGTTCTTGGTCAGTTGTGACTTCCTACTTTGGTTTTTGGACCGTTGTGACTTCCTCCTTTGGTTCTTGGTTCGTTGTGACTTCCTCCTTTGGTTCTTGGTTCGTTGTGACTTCCTCCTTTGGTTCTTAGCCCGTTGTGACTTCCACCTTTGGTTCTTGGTCTGTTGTGACTTCCTCCTTTGGTTCTTGGTCTGTTGTGACTTCCTCCTTTGGTTCTTGGTCTGTTGTGACTTCCTCCTTTGGTTCTTGGTCTGTTGTGACTTCCTCCTTTGGTTCTTGGTCTGTTATAACTTCCTCCTTTGGTTCTTGGTCTGTTGTGACTTCCTCCTTTGGTTCTTGGTCAGTTGTGACTTCCTACTTTGGTTCTTGGACCGTTGTGACTTCCTCCTTTGGGTTCTTGGTTCGTTGTGACTTCCTCCTTTGGTTCTTGGTCAGTTGTGACTTCCTACTTTGGTTCTTGGACCGTTGTGACTTCCTCCTTTGGTTCTTAGCCCGTTGTGACTTCCACCTTTGGTTCTTAGCCCGTTGTGACTTCCACCTTTGGTTCTTAGCCCGTTGTGACTTCCACCTTTGGTTCTTAGCCCGTTGTGACTTCCTCCTCTGATTCCCCAAAACTTCTTTCGTATTGTACCCGATGGTTAAGACTTCCTCGACTAACCGTAACATAATGTTCATCTTCCTGCAAACTCTTCTGGCATACCTGGAGTACTTACTCCTCCTTGCTGGAGGAAACACTTCATTTTCCTTCTGTTTCTTCTACCTCTCCTGTTCTTGCCTCCTCCTCCTCCTCCTCCTCCTCCATTTATCACTTCTGCTCGAATTCTTCCTCGTTCTTTGTTCTCATTTCATTGTCTTTACTCAAAAGGACTCGTCCCCCTCCTATTCATTTATTGGTTCCATAATGTTTGTTCCCCTACACTCTTGTGTTGATGGTGAGGAGGGTGACGGGCGATAGTGGGGGAGGGACACCATCACCAGTGGTGGAGGGACACCATCACTGAGGGGAGGGACACCATCACACCACTGGTGGAGGGACACCATCACCACTGGTGGAGGGACACCATCACCAGTGGTGGAGGGACACCATCACCAGTAGGTGGAGGGACACCACACCACTGGTGGAGGGACACCATCACTGGGGAGGGACACCATCACACCACTGGTGGAGGGACACCATCACTGGGGGAGGGACACCATCACACCACTGGTGGAGGGACACCATCACACCACTGGTGGAGGGACACCATCACCACTGGTGGAGGGACACCATCACACCACTGGGGGAGGGACACCATCACCACTGGTGGAGGGACACCATCACCACTGGTGGAGGGACACCATCACACCACTGGTGGAGGGACACCATCACACCACTGGGACAGAAGGAAAATGGGAAAGGTGTGTGTTATTCTATTTTTAGCCACGATTCCGGACTTCGAACCCCTCCCCGTACTCAACCGGCCGTCGTATACCGGCCGCCTCCTTATACCGGCCGCCCGTGTATAGCAGTCAACACCTTATATACCAACTCCCCTCTATGCCCCACCATATTATTTTGACCCTTAAAATTTGAAAGATATCGTTAATAATTACTGCCACTTGACTAATTCCTAAATCCCAATTGTTATCGTTGTCTTCGCTCTCTACCCATTCTATTCTTCCGTCCTTCTCGTATTTTGCCTTTGTCCGCTCTCTGTATGTGTGCCGGTACAAAAACAGCGGCAGGAAGAGTGTACAAGTGTCCCGAGGTTAAACAACGGACGCCGCTATTGAAACACCATCGCCAATTTTCACGAAGAAAACAATAAAATAAATAACCGAGATGGAGTGCTAAATCCTGTCCAACAATATTATTGGATTCCATTAATCTATATTTGTATGACGGAATATATGTTTCCTCTAGGTCGAAGGCCAGACGCTTGGGGGGTGGTCTCACCCAACTTTGCATAGTAACTGCTGAAGGGTAGGTGACCAACATGGATGGGTTGGGGTATTCATTGCGGTTGGCTGGTTGAGTTCCTAGAATTTCAGAGTATTTATGCCTTGTGTATGGAACCATTCACAGCTTCATACATACACACAACTCCCATGCACTATAAACTCCATACATAACCTCAAATATAGAGCCTTAACCATTCATTAACCACCCCCGACATACATACACCACCCCCGACAGACATACCCAATAAAACATACCTTATACATAATACTGGGCACACAACCGTAAAACCTCTGAAATATACAACCACCACAACCCGGTCACACACAACCTCTCAATATTGTGTTCTCTCGCAAGATATTTCTTTTGTTTTATTATTATTATTTTCTACCACAGACGTGGCCAGGCATTTACAATGCTAACCAGCATATATACATTTTCTTCTGTCCTCTTTCTTCTTAAAATACTAATCTAACCTACATACATAAATACATAATTTATGTATGTAGGTTTATGTAGTCTGTCCTACATAAACAATATTCGAGGTGTCAATAATGACGATCATTACACCGTTTATCTCAGCATATCTTCAGTGTGATTGTGTAAGCTTCACTTTCACAATCCCCCTCATCTCTCTCTCTCTCTCTCTTCGTCCTCTCTCTCTCCTCTCTCTCTCTCTCTCTCTCCTCTCTCTCTCTCTCTCTCTCTCTCTCATCTCTCTCTCTCCTCTCTCTCCTCTCCTCTCACTCTCTCACTCATCTCACCCCTCTCTCTCTCTCTCTCTCGCTCTCTCTCTCTCTCTCTCTCTCTCTCACTCTCTCTCTCTCTCTCTCTCTCTCTCTCTCTCCTCTCTCTCTCTCCCTCTCTCTCCTCCTCTCTCTCTCCCTCTCTCCTCATCTCACCTCTCCTCTCTGCTCTCTCTCTCTCCTCTCTCTCCTCTCTCTCTCTCCTCCTCTCTCCTCTCCCTCTCTCTCGTCTCTCTCTCTCTCTCTCTCTCTCTCCTCTCTCTCTCTTCTCTCCTCTCTCTCTCTCCTCTCATCCTCTCTCTCTCTCTCTCTCTCTCACTCTCTCCTCTCTCCTCTCTCACTCTCTCTCTCTCCTCCTCCATCTCTCCATCCCCCTCTCCATCTCTCCATCCCCCTCTCCGTTCCACTCCACATCTGCCCTGAGCAATACCAAGGAAAAGCAAATACAATCTTTTTTTTCCCGGCTAGACTATCAGTCGGGTAGCAAACATCAGTAAACAAAGAGAGAGGCAGGAAGCACATGGATAAACAATATACTGGAAGAAGGATGAGAGCAGCACACACAGCCGTGAAGGCGGACACGTCGCGCTCCCTACATCTCTCACACCATTAATAACACTCACAATTATATTTACAAACACAAAAGTTGTTAAAACTCAACGAATAACAAACACGTGGCGACGCGCACACACTCAAAAACACAGACGCACGCACGCACGCACAGTTGACGGTTGAGAGGCGGCACCAAAGAGCCAGAGCTCAACCCCCGCAAGCACAACTAGGTGAGTACACACAGGACTACACTGTCAGACTACAGGGTGACCTTGACAAACTGGAGGAATGGTCTAGAAAATGGCTGCTAAAGTTCAACTCAGGAAAGTGTAAAGTAATGAAATTAGGCGAAGGGAGCAGGAGGCTGAACACAAGGTACCATATGGGAGGTGAAATCCTGCTAGAGTCAAATAGAGAGAAAGATCTTGGGTTGATATCACACCGAACCTGTCCCCAGAGGCCCACATCAAATAATATCATCAGCGGCATATGCTAGACTGGTCAACATAAGAACTGCCTTTAGAAACTTGTGTAAGGAATCGTTCAGGACCCTGTATACCACTTATGTAAGACCAATCCTGGAGTATGCAGCTCCAGCCTGGAGTCCATACCTAGTTAAACACAAGACAAAGAGAAGATTCAGCGTTATGCCACCAGGCTCGTCCCGGAACTGAGAGGAATGAGCTACGAGGAAAGGCTAAAGGAGCTGAACCTCACAACCCTGGAAAACAGAAGAGTAAGGGGAGACATGATAACCACCTACAAAATTCTCAGGGGAATTGACAGGGTGGACAAAGACAAACTCTTCAGCACGGGTGGGACACGAACAAAGGGACACAGGTGGAAACTTAGTACCCAGATGAGCCACAGAGACGTTAGAAAGAATTTTTTCAGTGTCAGAGACCAGCCCGTCCTCCAAAAATGGGGTGGTAAATGTAAGAAGACAAATAAGTACAATTATGTACAATTCATAGCAGTCAGGAATTGTACTTATTTTCACTTAGCATTAAATCGTACTGTCAAATATATTGTGAATATTTGAGTTTACCTGAAAAACTTAATAGAAAACCATAGCCTCACCTAACCGTCTTAGTTTGTGAAGATAATAATTTTATTGCGTCTTAATTACAATTAGTACTTAACCTATAGCTATATTGATATTACAGTTTTATAAAACTAATAAAACAAAACTAAAATATATCAATAAATTGTAAAGTAACTCAGGATATTTTAAAATTTTGTATAAAATATATGTTGTTTAAATTAATAAACATGAAAAAGAAATTCCTGATATTTAAAACTTGTGTAGAGCAAATTGAAATTGAAAACTTCATCCTAAAATTCTGAGTGTCTTAACAGAAAACGAGGAGAATTTAATCGGGAGAGGGGGTTGGTTAAATGTAACAGCCCCATAAGTGTAATTATGCACTGTTTATGACAGTAAGAAAGTGTACTTATTACACTGAGTATTAAATCGTACTGTCAATTCGGAGGATGGGTTGCAGAGTAGTTAATAAATG